TTCAGTAACTTAGCTCAGGAACCTTGGACTTTCCTGTCACATGCATCCACACTTAATCACCTTTAACGCTAAGAAAAAATGGCCGGGTGAACCAGGCCTCTGCTCTGTATGCAAATGCCCCGTGTAAATGTTCTTCTGCAGCCCTTCCGATGCCATTCCGGGGGGGTAGAAAATGCCGTCGGAACAGCCACTATACCGCCTGTCTTTAGTGCTAATGTATGTAAGGCGTTCTGGAAAGGCTGGGTGCGGGCTGTTAATTTGTGCGAGATTGCGAGGTTAAAAAATGATGGTTTAGGATCGTTAAGAAAAAAAAGAAAAGAAAAAAAGAAAGTTATATTGATGTGCTCTTCTAATTTACATGTTTATTTTTTTTTTTTTTTCAGGGGGGTGAAATACGATATTAAAAGAATCTAGGTTAATAATTGGCGTGTTTATCATCTATATTACATTTTGCGAAAATAATAGCTCGGTTCATGAATATTAATTCCATTGTAAATATGAGACAGGGTTATTTTTACACATGCGCGTTAACAAAAAAGAAAAGAAAAAAAGAGGTGAAAAGTAGTAATAATTCCTCAAGTTTATGCGTTTCATTTACTGTACCGTGAATCCGATCGTTCTTTTCAGAGCAGAAACTACATCCATCATGTTTGGAAAGCCAACCCGTCACTCCGTTTTCTGTGATTCCTTCCCGTTTTCTGCCACATCCCGAGCCCCATCCAACGTGACTGACGCTAATGCCTCGGCGCTTAGGGTATCTCAGCATCGAAATCGACATCCCAACAGCCTGGGACAACAGCGGTCCTTACCTGAGGTCGACGCTGAGGAGTTCCTTCAGGGTCGGGTTCCAGTGTTTGCGCGATTTCCGGCTCGCCTTGCTGACGTTGTGGAGCTTGAGCACCGCCTCCATCAGGTCGTCGTAGCGGTCGGAGGGCGCCGCCGACGTCACGTTGCCCTCCCGCCGCCCCTTGCTCCCGACGGCCACCAGGTTGTCCGGCCCGTCGACGGCGGCGTTCAGCTGGGCGGAGGCCACGGCGGCCAGCGAGGCCTCGCGGGACCCGTTGTTGGTCTTCTGCAGGTGCCGTTGTCGGAACGAGTACTGGACGCGGGCGTGGCTGGGCGTTTGCGGGCGTCCTCCCATGGTGATGCCCGTCTCCACGTCGAGCACCAGCACCACCGTCATCACCACCAGCCCCGCCATCACCCCGATCACCAGCCGTTCCTTGAGCTTCATCCTGGCGCGGTGACCGTTGGCCGACGACCGTTAAGGACCCGAATTTACCCGAACGAGCGACAGAGGTCGTTCCGCGTCGTCCTTCCCTGCGGTCGTCTCTCTCCTCCTGTTTACCTCTCCTCTCTGCCTTTGCTCACACGCCCGATATCAGGGCACGCCGCCTCCCCTGCAGAGGGTGATCCGCGGCTCCTGCAGAAGGCGGGGCGGGAGGGAGGGATCCAAGGAACACATGTGCGGGGCCCCTGTGGATCCTTCGCCGGGCGTCCTCCTCCTGAAACACGCAGAAGAAGAAAAAATCAACAACAGAATCCAGTGTATTTATAAAAGGAATAAACAACAAAATCCCAGAAAGAATTAACAACAGACGAATTAACAACAGAATCTAATGTATTTATTAAAGGAATTAACAACAGAATCCAATGCATTTATAAGAGGAATTAACAACAGAAACCACTGTATTTATAAGAGGAATAAACAACAGAATCCAATGCATTTATAAGAGGAATTAACAGATTCCAGTGTATCTATAAGTCTAGTGGACGGATTAGTATGCATATGTTGATCACTTTTGATAATGATATTAGAATCAGAAATTCTTTTAAAGCCCTAAAAAAATATGGAGATGATTTACGCAGTGCAATGGTGTTTCAATTCCATGTGAGCCTAATTGCTCTTGTGAAAACATAAGAATTCATTTGATATTATATTATTCATACAGCGATTTTCCAGTCTGAATGAAGTTTGCGTATGTAAATGTCTGTAGATGGACAGACAGATAGATGAATTGATAGACAGGTATGTGTGTGTGAATGTATATGTGTAAACACACACACACGCACACACATACACGCACCACACACACACACACACACACACACACACACACACACACACACACACACACACACACACACACACACATATATATATATATATATATATATATATATATATAGAGAGAGAGAGAGAGAGAGAGAGAGAGAGAGAGAGAGAGAAGGAGGGAGAAAAAAAAAGAAAGAGAGGGGGGGGAGGAAGAAAGAGGAGACAGACACGAATGTAAAATTCATACAAACCATATCAACGCTCAGGCAAATACATCACCCCGCCATTCATCACCCCCCCCTCCCCCCCCCCACCCCCAGGCATCACATGTGTAGAGCGACTGGCATGTAAATTTTCCATTCATAATGATGGCGCTTCCAGGACGTGTTGCATTAGCATCGCGTCTCACTGAGAAGGAAACCTAATTTCTCTCCGAATCAGGCTAATGCACCTTGTTATGACGAATGCTTAGATATAGCGATGTATCTTTTCTCTGGGATTTGTTGAGTTGGGTTAATGTTCATTTGTTTTTTGTTTTGGAATAATAATAGGAGGAATATAATAGATTAACTAGGTTACTGTATTATTTGAGGGAAAAACAATTCACATGTTTAACATTCTCGCTATTATTGTCGTTACTTAAAACATCGTAAGTTTTATCGCAATTTCATCACTCGCAATAAATTCATCACAGTCACTTCATTTCTCTTGTTATTGCCTCATATCATCACCTGAACAACATCTAAAAATCAAGAGAATTAACGATATTGCAGTTTTAAACCTAAACCCAAAACAATAGAAATAGCTTTCGAAAAAAAATCTTTACTTCTGACTTTATGTTATTGCAATACCAATAACACAATATCAGTACTCATAAAATACACATTGATTTCCTATTATCAATACTGGCGTCATTTCAACGCACACTCACATACCTGCAGCTAATGACAAAACTACCAGTGAAGCCAAACAATAGTAAGGCAATTCATCAAGTCAATTTGAAGCCATCAGCTGAGGAAACCACGCAAAAAAAAAAAAAAAGAAAAAAAGAAAAAAAAAACAAGAGGGTGAATCGATCAAAGTCGCCTCATTAAATGCAACACAAACACTTGATAAAGGCATCGATTTGATAAGGAAAAATACGAAGTTTATAGGCAGCGAGGAAGACGAGAAGAACCAGCCAAAAAACCGGGATTGACAAAGGAAGAAGTGAGAAGAAAGTGTTCCTCTTCTTCACAGGAAAAAAAAAAAAACATTCTTTGATGTCTAAATAAGGATCCTTTTGGTGAGTTCGCTGTTTCCGTTTTCTTCTTATCTTTCGCTTCCTCTTTTCTGTCCTTTATTTCCTTCATCTTTTCTTTTTTTTTCCTCTATGTTCTCTTTCTCACTCTTTTCTCCATCCACCTCTTCCTCTCTCTTTCTCTTCTTCTATTTCTCCTTTTCTATCTCGAATCTACCTCTTTTTGCCTCCATCCCCTCTATTTCTCTTCCCCTTTCACTTCCATTTTCCTATTTCCCCTACCTCGCACTCCCTTTCCTTCTCCTTTCTTCTGCTCCCTTCCCTCCCTCTCTTTCCCCTTTCTCTTCTCCCACTTTCCCTCTCTCCACAATCAATTCTATCTCATATTTCCCCTTTTCTCTCTCCCTTTCCCTTCTTCCTCCCTTCCTCCCCTCTGTATCCTCTCACTCCCCCGATCTCCCTCTCTTTACCTCTATTCCTCCTCTCTTCCTCCTTCCTTTTGTCTTATCACCTTCCCTACAATCTCTTTAACTGTTTCCTAAAGCCTTTTCTTTTCCCCCTACCCTGTTTCCCTCTTCCTTTCTTCCTCGTTTCTTCTCCCTTTCTCCTTCCCCAACTCTGTCACTGCTCTCCCTTCATCCGAGAAAGCGATAGAAATAGACATATATATAGAGAGAAGGAGAGAGAAGAGAGAGAGAGAGAGAGAGAGAGAAGAATGAAAGACACAGAGAGAGAGAGAGAGACTAACAGAAAAAGAGAAAGAAAGAAAAAACAGAGAGACACAGAGAGAGAGAGAGAGAGACTAACAGAAAAAGAGAAAGAAAGAATAAAAGAGAGAGAGAGAGAGAGAGAAGGAGAGAGATGAACCCGAAGTCCCAATGCCCCGTGTCGTATTTCAGCTTGGAGAGCGAGCAAAATTGCCTTCGCCTGTGGCACTGAAGTGAAAGGAAAATTAACAACCTTCGTGAATAAGGTCCCAAAAAAAAAGAAAAAAAATATATATATAATCTTCCTCCGCTATTTAAATTCCCCATAATTCATGTCTGTTTTCCTACTTTCTCTCCTTATTTGGTATTTATTATGATCCTTCCACACACGAAAAAAAAATGTGATCAACAGAGCCAATATCAATGAAATCGGCGAGGCAGCTGCTTCGTAGTCGTGTGCGCTTGATTTTATGGTTTTGGCGAATCCGGCGATCGGGGCGGGAAGGTTCATGCAATACTTTTGGGTGGTTGTGCATGGTGGGGTAATACCGCTGGTCTGCCACGCACACTTTCGCCCGGAAATCTATATCTACGGCAGTTCCTTTTCCTCTCCTCTCGTGGTTTTCGTGATGCTGGAGGTGTTTCCTGTGTGGATATTCGTTTGCTTATCAATGTCTTTTTCTTTTCTTTTTCTTTCTTTTTTTTGTGTCAATTTTTTTTTTTTTTTTTTTTTTTTTTGTTCTTTAAGATCTCTTAATGCATTGAATGGATCGATGATTGATTGTGTTTTTTTTTCTAGGATGTATAGATCTATTTGTGCGTTCTTAGATCCTCTCTTAAAATCCTTCTGCAGAAACTTAGAAGCATATAACATACCCAAATAGTGTTACATCTCCCTAAAAATATTATACATTTCCCTAAAATCTTTAAATATTTCCCTAGAACACATAGATTTTTCTAAAATAGTTATACAATCTTTTAAACCATTATATATTTTCCTAAAAGTTATACATTTCCATAAATCGGTTATGCATTTCCCTAAAACCTTTATACATTTCCTTAACGCGTTTATACACTTCCCTAGAACCCATATCCATTTCCCTTTATTTAAACGGCCGTAAAACGGCGTAAACCGTAAACGTTATTTCCCTAAAACCGTTAACATTCCCTTAAAATAAACATTCCCTAAAACCGTTATACATTTCCCTAAAACCGGTTATACATTTCCCTAAAACCGTTATACATTCCCTTAAAACCGTTATACATTTCCCTAAAACCGTTATACATTCCCTAAAACCGTTATACATAAAACCGTTTCCCTAAAACCGTTAAACATTCCCTTAAAACCGTAAAACCGCTATACATTTCTCTAAAACCGTTATACATTTCCCTAAGAGCGTTATGCATTTTCCTAAACAGATATCATTACCGTGAATCATTATTCATGATAACAAACTACCCTGAAGTACTTATAAAATATCCCAAAACCCTTAAAGTGTAAAGTATCATCCTCTACATCATTTATGAAGGACCTTTTAATGTTAAGTGAATCTGAAGTGGTCTTGAATTTTAAAATATCGATACTGTAGTTCGTTTTTTATGAGGGCGGAAACGCATTATAATCTATCTAAAATATGTTACGGAGGCACATTATAATCTATCTAAAATATGTCAAAGTTAGTGATGAATGATACAATTAGGATGAATACCTATGACTTCGGCCTACAATCCTACAAATACCCTTATATCCTACAATCCTACAAATACCCTTATATCCTACAATCCTAATACCCTTATATCCTACAATCCTACAAATACCCTTATATCCTACAATCCTACAAATACCCTTATATCCTACAAATACCCTTATATCCTACAATCCTACCCTTATATCCTACAATCCTGCTTATATATCCTTACAATCCTACAATCCTACAAATACCCTTATATCCTACAATCCTACAAATACCCTTATATATCCTACAAATATATACAATCCTACAAATACCCTTATATCCTACAATCCTACAAATACCCTTATATCCTACAATCCTACAAATACCCTTATATCCTACAATCCTACTAGAATACCCTTATATCCTACAATCCTACAAATACCCCCTACAATCCTACAAATACCCACAATCCTACAAATACCCCTACAATCCTACAAATACCCTTATATCCTACAATCCTACAAATACCCTTATATCCTACAATCCTACAAATACCCTTATATCATACCCTTATACCCAATGCCCTCATACTTTACCATTATCAGGAAGAAATTTCCCCGTATTGAAACTGGTTAGCGAATGGACTAAGCATTTAACCAATACTTTCAACGGGAAATTCGTGTTATGCTTTTTAGAGGTTGGTGATATCATGAACTTGTTTGTTAATCCAGATACTTTATCCGGGAATTTCTAAGTAGTGAAAGTCTGACTTGAGGAAAAGTTTTGAAATATATAAGTGGTCATTTATTATAAGGTCAACTGCTTC